GTTATTATTATTATTATTATTACATTCTTTCCCTCCCCCACTCCACCGCCTTCCACTCCCCCCTCCCCTCCTCAGCTCCGGGCCACAACCAGGTGTGCATCAGTAAGTGCTCCCACAACCTGCAGTGTCTGGTCTCAGGGGGAGGCAACAAGTGTCTGTGCCCAGAGGGACATTACTTCAGCACGACCAGCAACTTGTGTGTGCCAGGTAACTACACACCTCGTGTACACACCAATAGCGGTGTGTGCCAGGTAACCACACGGTCATTTCAACACACGAATACTGTGAGTACCAGGTAACTACACACCTCGTGTACACACCAATAGCGGTGTGTGCCAGGTAACCACACGGTCATTTCAACACACGAATACTGTGAGTACCAGGTAACTACACACCTCGTGTACACACCAATAGCGGTGTGTGCCAGGTAACTACACACTTCGTGTTCACTCCATTAACAGTGTGTACCAGATAACTACATGCCTCATATACTCACCTATAGCAGTGAGTACCAGGTAACTACACACCCCGTGTACACACCAATAGCTGCGTGTTCTAGGTAACTACACACAACCTGTACTCATGAAAAGCTGTGGGTTGGCAGGTCTGGGAATGTAGCTAGAAATGTCGAACGATTTGAATTACACTGAGAAAAGTCTTGGAAAAAACACAACCTGACTGATACCCATATAATGATATAATGACAACCAAAAGAAACTTGAAAATGCAGTCCTCCATACATCGTTTTAAAACCTTGCACTACCTACACATGCAGCATACCAATTGAAAGTAAATACTATGTCCTTTTATGCTTTCCCTCCGTCGTTTTTGTCTGTCTTACTCTTCCCTAGCACTATAACAATTATTGTGTCGACATGCTCCTCTTTACTCAGCTAACTAAACAAACAAATAAATGCAACTAATTTCGTCTCAACCACCACCCTCCCACCTTCCACCCCCTCTCCCCGTGCCACAGACATAGGCTATCAAGAAGAGTGCACAACAAAAGACAAGTGTGCAGCCTCTCTGGAGTGCCTCAAGCTGAGCGGCAAGTTCAAGTGTCTCTGTCCTAAGGGCACACACTGGGACCCCAAGGAGAAGTTGTGTGCTTTAAGTGAGTCTTTTCCACAACACATCATACACGTTACAACACAACACAAATACGTTACATACATCTCACACGTAAAAGCACATCACACGTGTTATAGCACATCACGCACGTTACAACATAACACATCCACGTTGCAATACTCCACGCTCGTCTCAACACATTACACACGTTACAACATATCACACACGTTACAATACACCACGCCCGTCACAACACATCACACACGTTACAACACACCACGCACGTTACAGCATAACGCACACTTTAAAACGCAGCACATACGTTAAAACACATCGCTCACGTTACAGCGCACCTCACACGATACATTCAGCACCCCAAACACGTTATTACAGCACATGAAATACGTTATAGTCACACCACACATGTTACAGCACACCACACATGTTACAGCACACCACACATGTTACAGCACACGCCACTTGTACTTAAGAAACACTAGAGCTCATTACAACACAAAACATATTCTACTGCTCGGTACAATGAAGTACAACACATCTTATGTGTTACAGCACACAATGACACACTGTTGCTAATCACGCACGTCACCACCGAAACATAATATCATACTGCGTTGGAAAACATTACAACTTAATGCAAGGTTCTGACATTATTCTTAACATATTAATGTGAGCATGTCTATAATTATTACCTTTTCCCCCTCTTATGCAGTTGCAAGCTCCGTAAAACTCTTACAAAACTAAAACTACGAACCCTACACTACTACCCACAGCATATTAAGCATCTGCAATCAAAATACGAGTGTGTACCCCCCCCCACACCCCGAAAACACTCCCCAGTCCCTGGATTCGGCGAAGTGTGCACTGGCATCTGCGCCAATCATCTGGAATGTAACGACTTCGGAAGTGGAACTTTGGTGTGCGGATGTCCGGTCGGCTATTACTGGTTGGTGGAGAAGGACAAGTGCTTCAAAAGTAAGTCTTGTGTTGTTCTAATATGGAATATGACAAGGTTTAAGTGCTTCAAAAGTAAGTCTTGTGTGGTTCTAATATGGAATATGACAAGGTTTAAGTGCTTCAAGAGTAAGACTAATATTTTGGAATGAAAGGTGTCTTTTGTTATTCGAAAGAAAACGGTTCAGGCACTTTATAGGTCGGAAAAGAAACAACTATTCTTATAATGGCCGTTAGAGCAAGACTGTCTAATGGTAGCCATTGGAATTGAAATATAATAATA